TAACATCTCAAAGAAAAGAAAGGGGACCTAGAGTTTTATAGAGTCAGATAAAGAAGGGAGTCACCCATGAGTCTACGGGACCTATGAGGAAGGATGGAGTAACTGAGGAAGAGTGGAGCCCCTGTCTACTTAGGTCTTATCTTGGAATACGTGAGAGCAGGGTGGTCCTTTGTGTGGTTAGCCATTTCTTGGAACAGAGGGGCGAGGGAATTTCTCCAGGAGAACAGGTCTCAAATAAAATTCAGTATTTTGTACATGTTAAATGTACATGTCTTAGTCTATTCAGGCTGCTGTAACAAACTACCACAGAGTGAATAGCTTAAATAACAAACACTTCTTTCTCACAGCTCTGGATGCTGAGAAGTGGATGATCGAGGCACTGGCAGGTTTGGTGTCTAGTGAGATCCTGCCTCCTTGTCACAGTTTGGTTATTTTCTCATAAAGGCATTAATCCTTTTCATATGGGCTCTACCCTCAGATCTCATCACCCCCAAAAGCCCCCACCTCCATCTACCATTACTTTGGGGGTTAGGAGTTCAGCATGAATTTGGGCAAGACAAACATTCGGTCTCTTAACATTATGTAGGTTTTCATTTCTCTTGGGTGAATCCCTAGGACTGCAATTGCTGGATCATGTGGTAAGTCTTTGTTGAACTTTGTGTGAAACTGCAAAGTTCTTTCCAAAGTGGTGGTACCATTTTGCTTTCCAACCAGCAACAAAGGAGATTTCCTATTGATCTACATCCTTGCCACCACTTGAAACGTCAAATTTATTTTAATTAATTAATTTATTGGTCATTCTGAATTTTAACCTTAAAGCAGTACTTCTGATGGTTTGTTAGCTTAAGGTAAGTTATGCTACAGTAACAAATGACAGCAAAAACTTTAGGGGCTCATAATGCCAATGCTCTACTTCATGTTACCTTCACTTGGCCAGGGAGCAGCCTCTCTTTCTGGGGGCGTTGCTGGCCTCCTGGCAGAGGGAAAGGAGAACCGGTGGATCCATCCTGAGGCTCTGAAAGCTTCTGCTCAGAAAAAGCACCTGCACTTCCACTCACTTTTTCTTGTCCAAGCAAGTCCAGAACGAAGCCTGAAGTCACTGGGACAGGGAAGGGTAATCCTCACTGGGGCAGAAGCAGCAAGTATATTCAACCGTAATACCGGTTATCTCTTTTGTCTTCATCATTTCTTTGGCCTGGCAATGTTTGTTTCTGTTTATGTTTTTTAAGTATTTATTTTGAGAGAGAGCACACATGACAGGCAGAGAGAGAGGGAGAGAGAGAGAATCCCAAGCAGGCTTCACATTGTCAGTGTGGGGCTTGAACTCACAGACCATGAGATGACCTGAGCCAAAATCAAGAGTCAGACACTTAACTAACTGAGCTGCCCAGGTGCCCTGGCCTGACAGTATCTTAATTGATAGCCTCTGTCACCTCCTTAGCCCTTTCTCTGATACCCCCCCTTGGTCACTGTGTTCCAGTCTCAAGGCCTCCCTGCTATTCCTCAAATGCCAGTCATATTCTCTCAGGACCTCTGAAATCACTTCCTGCTGTGGGGATCCTCTCCCCCCAGGACATTTGGGCTCACTTCCTCATTCCTCATTACACATCACCTTTTCAGTGAGCCCTTTCCTGATTTCGAGATATTTAAAATTACAACAGCGCCTGCCCAACCCACAACTTCCCATCCTCTTTCCTTGCTTTATGTATTTCCAAGGCACTGACTGTCATCCGATTGATACATGATGCACTGTACATGTTTATCTCCCCAACTGGACTGTAAACATCTGGTTTCTGCTGTATCCTGACCCTTGGATTCCTACAGCAGGTGCCCAAGAAATGTTTGTTGAACTAAGATGGAGGTGAACCAGCATTAGTGAACAATGGGTCACCATATCTTGGGTGCATATCTTTGTTGTTTCTGATTCTAAGATAATTCTACTTGGAATGTACTGAAACATATGAAATTAAGAAATTGCATCCAGAATCTCACATGTCCCCGGCAATCATTTTAATACCTTGGAATATTACTTCCAGTTCATTCAAATCAGCAAACATTTAATGAGTATCTTAGATGTTGGCACGTTGATCCCCTGCACAGTATAGCTGGGAATACAACAGTGTGTCCAGCCTCACGGAGCAGTCCAGCTAGAAAGCAAGATGGCCGTTTATTTATCAATCATGAAAACACTGTGAGCTGTAATAGTGAAAAGAATGAAAATAACAGTGGGAAGCTATAAGAGGAGGAGAGACTAACCTAGGGGTAGGAAGGGAAGACTGCTGCACACAGGGACCGGTAGCGTGCTGGTGCAGGAGGGGATGTAGGGGCATCAGAGAAAGAGGTGAGGAGAGTGGGCAGGATGAGGTAGGGAAAAGCCTTGTAGACTTCTGATTATGTTAGGTGAACACTAAGGATGGTGACCAAAGAAGCATTTGGTTGTGGGAAAAACAAAGGAGGCAGTCGGATGAAGAAATGGCCTAGGAGGGAGGAGGGAAGGCAGGGTGGGTGGTGTTCTGGACCAAGAGAGAACAGATTTAGGGAGGAGAGACTCCACCTGTTAAATACCACGGAGGGGCAACAAAGCTATAGGTGGAATCCCTTGGGCAACGGTTAGTAGGGATTCACTGGAGAAGAGGTGGGTGTGGGGTGCAAGGCTGCCTTTGCTAAATAAAAAATCCACATTTACAAGAGCAACAGTTGAGACCCCAAGAGATAAACAGGTTGAGAGTATGTATAAGCAAGTCCCAGGAGGAAAAAATAGTAAATACAAAAGTATACGGACATCTGAACTTAGGGTGACCAAAGGAATTCAGCGGAGTCCGTGGTCATTTCTGGTAAAATAGTTTAAACAAATTTTTAAAATTTTTTATTTTTTAATTTTTTTAAATTAAAAACTTTTTTTTTTAAAATTTTTGAGAGTCAGAGAGAGACAGCATGAGCAGGGGAGGGGCAGAGAGAGAGGGAGACACAGAATCTGAAGCAGGCTCCAGGCTTTGAGCTGTCAGCATAGAGCCCAATGTGGGGCTTGAAGTCACAAACCATGAGATCATGATCTGAGTCAAAGTCGGACACTTAACCAACTGATCCACCCAGGAACCCCCACCATTCTTTAATTCTAGTACATTTCATTAGCTTCCTAAAGGAAGCAAATGCCAATTAGCAGTCACTTTTCTTTTCCTCCTTCTCCCAGTCCCTGGCAGCCACTAATCTAGCCACAGATTTAACAGCTATGGACATCTCATATAAATAGAATCATACAATATGTGGTCCATATGCTTATTTCATTTAGCATTATGTTTTTTTTTTTATGTTTTATTTATTTCTAGGAGAGAGAGAGAGAGACAGCGTGAACAGGGGAGGGTCAGAGAGAGGGAGTCACAGACTGAAACAGGCTCCAGGCTCTGAGCTGGCAGTCAGCACAGAGCCTGACGCGGGGCTCGAACCCACGAACCGCGAGATCATGACCTAAGCGAAAGTCGGACGCTTAACCGACTAAGCCACCCAGGCGCCCCTCATTTAGCATTATGTTGTCAGTGTTCATCAATGTTGTAGCATGTGCCAGTACTTCATGCCTTATATGGCTGAATAATATTCTGTTGTGTGGATATACCAACTTCTGTTTTTCCATTCATTTGTCAGTGGACATTTGGATTGTTTCTAGTTTTTGGCTTGTGAATAATGCTGCTATGATCCTTCACATACCAGTTTTTGTGGGTATATATGCTTTCAACACTCTTCAGATACTTTGCATTTGATTGGTTGGTTGATTGATTGAGCTCCCCACCCATGAGCTGGGGAGAGGGACAGAAGGGGGGGAGAGAGAGAGAGAGAGAGAGAGAGAGAGAGCGCACAACCCAAACAGACTCCACTTTCAGTGCAGAGCCTGATGCGGGACTTGATTCTACAACCCTGGGATCATGGCCTGAGCTGAAATCAAGAGGAGGACGCTCAACCCTGAGCCACCCAGATGCCCCTTGAGTGGATACTTTGGAGTGGAATTGCTGGGTTACATGGTAACTGTTCAAATTTTTGAGGTACTGTCAAATTTGTTCACAACAGTTGTACCATTTTACATTCCCACCAACAGTGTATAAGCATTCTGATTTCTCCACATCCTTATCAATACTTATTATTGTCTGTCTTTGGGTTATAGATATCCTAGTGGGTAAGAAGTAATATCTCCTGGTTTTGCAAACATTTTTAAATAGTTAAATTCCAGTGATCATATCTCACTATACATCATGGGTCAGCAAACTTTTCTATAAAGGTTAGATAATATTTTAGCCTTTGCACACTATATGGTCTCTGCCACAATTACTAAGTTCAACTGTTGTAGTGTGGAAGCAGCCACAGACAACTTGTAAGCCAATGGGCAAGGTCGCTTTCCAATACATTTTTATAGACTCTGAAACTTGAATTTCATGTAATTTTCATGTGCCACGAATACCATTCTTTTGATTTTTTTTTACAACATTAAAAAATGTAACGACCATCCTTAACTCTTGGACCATACAAAAACAGGTGGATTTACTGTAGTTTAATGACCTCCTACTATTCACAAAACTCAGTTCTTGAGGATTGTAGCTCTAAACAGGAAAGGCAAAACGATAGCATGCAGATGAAAATACAAAACATCTTTGTGATCTTGCCATAGACAAACGTTCCTTAAACAAACCAAAGAAAATTGATGAGTCTGACTACATTAAAATTCGGAACTGTGTTCGTTAGGAAGGGTTATGTAAGCGTATCATGCAAGTGGAAAGACAAGCCACGGAATGGGAGAAGGTAATTGTCGCTCTTAGACGCAACAAAAGACTGATATCCAGAAGTTATAAAGATCTCGGCATCTCAATAAGAAAGAAAATGCAGTGGAAATATGAGCAAATTAATTGACCAGTCTTCCCAATGAACGCCAGACCCCACGCATCCCGAGGCCTCGCTGGGGAAGCTTCATCCGGGAGTCAGGCGCGCGCGCACGCGCATCTCAGGGCACCCGGCGCACGCGCACAAACAAGCGGTTTGCCGAGGGCGACGCGTCGGTCGTGGGAGGTATGAGTTCCTTTCTGGGGGTTTTCTCCTGCTTTGGACCCGTCCCAGATCGCGTAGCAGGAGGTCACGGCAGCCCAACGCCGGTGGGGCGGGGGGAAACGCCGAGGGGGGCGCCGGCCGGGGGGCCAGGGAGTCCCGGGGATGAGGTGCGGACCCCCCTGCGCCGTCTGCTCGCCCCGAGCGGTGCAGACCCCCGTTGTGTTCGCCCACTGGGTGGGAGCGGACCCCTCTCTCTTCGTCCATCCTCACATGCGGACTGCCCTTTTCCCCTCGGGCGCGGACTCCCCCTCCTCCGCGGACTCCCTTTTCTCTCCACTCAGGTGCGCGCCTCCTTGCTCCCACCCTGCACAGGTGGATGCCCCTCGCCTCTGCCTCCCCACAAGGTGTGGGCTTGCACATTGCACAGCCTTCTGTGTTTCCTGTGTCCGGTTCCCAAGGATGCTTTGTCCTCTTTGCGTCTTCCTCCTCTCACAGCCCTGGTCCTTCGCCCCCGCCTGCGTCCTTCTGAGGACCGATTCGCTCCACTGAGCATTTGGGGTGCCTGTGAATGTTTCCTTCCTCCCCCTACCCACCGAACTCGCCCTCCCAGGCTTCACCCCCATCCCCAATCCCGTGTCGTTGACTGGGTTGCCTCTCCCCACAGACCCCTAATGCCCTGAAGCTGTCCCCTACCCCCGCCACAGACAAATCAGACTTTGGGGTCCTCACATGAGCCTCTGGTCTCCCCAAACCCAGTCCTCCCGGTGTCTGTAAATGGCGACTCCCTCTGCTGCGCTAAATCTCAGCGTCCTCCTTGATGTTTCTCTTTCCCTAACCCCCATATCATTTCTACCCCCAACTCCCATGTCTTTATCTCTAAGATATTTCCAGAATTCAACCGCTTGCCCACCCGCTTCTCTCCGTAACAGGCACCTCCTCCCTGCTCCCTTGCCTTCTGCCCACCCCACTGTTTGTTCCTCATCCGTAGCCAGTGGGAGCCTGGGAGCGCGCATGTAAGATCTTGCCTCTCCTCTGCTCCATCTCCTGTGGCTTGTAGTAGCCAGAATCCTCAGGAGCCCTAGAGCAGGGGCTGCTGGCCCAGTAACTGCTGCTACGTTGCAGGTGGTTAGGAGCTTGCATCGAGTGAAAAATCAGAGTCCAGTCTCCTTCCTTGAGCAGTATGCTCCCTGAATCTGCTCGGTTCCTGAGTTTTGGACAGTGGGTAGAGATTGGGGCAGGCAGGGAGGCCACTACTAACTCAGAAAACTGACCCGGGTCTGTGTGCATCCTGACTTTGCAGATTATTTGATGGAGACCGATTTTGCTGTTGATTCTTTGTGTCTTCCCCCACTAGAAAGCTAGCTGCACCCTGCAGCATCTTCTGTCTCATCCACTGCTGATTCATTCCTACCAAGAACAGGGCGTGGCACACAGTAGGTGTTGAGAGGTGTTGAATAAACATTTGCTTAGTGAATGAAAAAGCTGGCCCTCTAGCATTTAGTTAGCATTTAGCCGATGTCTTCAGGCTGTTGTTAGAGCTTTTCCCTTTATAATATCTATAGTTTCGAACAGTATGGGGTATGGTTTGTGTGTGTTTGGGATTGATGTGCGAACCTCTGCAGTGCGCTTCTCTCGCCAGTCTTCTGTTTCGACATCTACTGTTTTCGCTGTTGTGCCGTAGTCTCTACCTAGTGAAGATGCCACCATTTATCCCCCACCCCAAGCCCCACCTTTGATGCACAGCTGGGAAGTTTGCAATTTTTCAGCATTCCTAACAGTGCTTTAGCAGCCATCTTGAGCATGTGTCTTTGTAAATCAGGTAAGGATTTCCCCAGTCTGGGGATTTTCAAATTATTTTTGACCCAGGCATTAGAAGAAACACATTTACATTCATGACTCACATGCATATGTTACTGGAGCAAAGTTTGATGAAACAACACTAAGTGCGAGGTCTTCTTCGATCAGTATTGTATTTTAACTTTTTTTAATTTTTAAAAAGTGTTTATTTTTGAGAGAGCACAAGCAGGGGAGGGGCAGAGAGAGGGAGACAGGATTTGAAGTGAGCTCCATGCGGATAACAGGGAGTCTCATGGGGGCTTGAACTCACAAACTGCCAGATTATGACCTGAACCAAAGTTGGACACTCAACATACTGAATCACCCAGGCGCCCCCGTTTTGAATTTTTAATGTTGCTCTACCACATCGCTTTGCATTTTAAATTTTGATTTCAACCCAAAATTGTTCTTCAAAGGAGCTCACCAGTTTTTCCGCCTATGAAGACAGATGTGGAAACTACCCATAACATAATATTTACTGGAAAAAACAAAGGACCTCAAATTGTATATACACAGTTTGACTCTAACTATATCAAAATGATTCTCTAGGAAGAAAACAGGAAATAAATGCACCTAGGACTTAATTTTCTTTTTACTTTGTGTTCCAAGTTTTGTGTAATAAGCATGTATTATATTTCTTAGTGATTTTTAAAAATTTAATGTTTAATCATTTCTTGAGAGAGAGAGAGAGAGTATGTGAGTGGGAGAGCAGCAGAGAAAGAGGGAGACAGAGAATCTGAAGTAGGATCCAGGCTCTGAGATGTCAGCACAGAGCCTGACATGGGGCTCAAACTCACAAACTTCAAGATCATGACCAGAGTGGAAGTCGGACACTTAATCAACTGAGCCACCCAGGTGCCCCCATAGTGATTTTTAATAGGAAAGTATTTAAGTGGATTTGGTGCAAGTTTTATATAAGTAGGATGCTTCCCTGTTGTAAAGTCTTGGGGATAAAAGGCACAGCATAAGGAATGTAGTTCACAATGCTGTAATTGCATTGCATGGTGACAGGTGGTGACTAGACCGGAGCAGAGCATACTGGCTACATTCGTCAGATCACCGTGTTGTACACCAGGAACTAATGTAACATTGTCAACCACACTCAAAAAAGAAAATAGAGTTCCATTTGCTCTGCTTTTATTTACTTGCAGGTTTTCGGAAACCTATTTAGGGCCCAGAGCAAAGAAATTATACAGTTTTCAGCTTGAATGGGTTGCCAGCTTTGGGGAGCGGCAGTAGGGCCCAGTGATTCTGGAGCTGGTTGGAGGGAACTGTGTGGTTTGGACAGCCCTGCCCTGCCTGGATTTCAGTTATTCCAGGCAAACACTCCTGGCTTTCCTGTTTTCTCCTGCAGGAGAAACCCTTACTGTGCAGAAAGGGTTTTACAAGTCAGCATTTTCCCAGGTTGGTAACTCTGGTTTTCTTACAGCTCCCAGCTAGTTCCCCCGCTCCCTTAGAATTCCTGTAACCATCTCTTGAACACCTTTGGAGAAAACTGTTCTAAATTCATTCTCACCTAAGTAATAATGAGTGCCGATCCTTGGTGTAGTACCTCTCTCCAGAAGCATTAACATGTCCCCTACCTACCTTCTCGCTTCACAAGTTTCTAAAATATTGAGAAAAGTTGAGGGAAGAGTATAATGATCACTCTTAACCCACCACCTAAATTTTTATGTATGCAACATATAAGTTATGTATTATGTGTTTATAACATATTATGCATGTGTATATGGGCATATAAATGTTTATGTATATTTATATGCATGTGTTTTATGTGTTGTTGCATATGGGGGTATATATGGATTTGTATGTATATAAGTGTATCTGTGTTTATGTATGCATGTGTGTATATTTTTGTATATACATGTATATCACTGTATATGTATGTTTATGTGTATGTATGTATATTTACTTGTGTGTGCACATATAGATATTTATGTGTATGTAGATAAGCATTTGAAAGTAAGTACCCCTAAAAATTTTAGGTTGTATATTCTAAGAATAAGGACATTCTTCTACACAACCGTAATACTGTTGTCACACCTAAGAAAGCTAGCAGCAGTTTCCTGTTATCCCCTGGTAACCCATCCCTAGTCAAACCTTCCCAGTTATCCCTAATGCCTTTTATTACTGTTATTTCAAGCCAGATCCTATCAGGGGTCTTGTATCTTTCTTGTTCCTTTAAACTCTTATATTTGAAGTAATTATAGCCTCATAGGAAGGTACAAAGAATGAACAGAGAGGGCCTGTGCATCTTTTACCAAGTCTCTCCCGTGGTTAACATCTTGCACAACTGTAGGACAGGGTCAAAGCCAGGAAATTGACATTGGTACCATCTGCAGAACTTATTCAAAGTTCACTCCTACTCAGACTTAACGGAGGACCATGGGGGAGGAGAAGGGGAAAAAGTTGGGGAGGGGGAGGGAGGCAAACCATGAGAGACTCTTGAATGCTGAGAACAAACTGAGGGCTGATAGGGAATGGGGGTGATGGGCATGGAGGAGGGTACTTGTTGGGATGAGCACTGGATGTTCTATGGAAACCAACTTGACAATAAACTATGAAGGGATAAAAAGTAAAAAAGCAAGATTCAAAGAAAAAAACCCCAACAAAGTTCACTCCTACTCATTTGGATGTGTTGGGTGCACAGCTCTCTGTGCCACTTTAAGATGTGTATCTTGGTATAACAAGCACAGTCTAGATACTTGATTTCCATGTCAGTACAGAATTCCCTCATGGTCCTCCCATATAGCCACCCTACTCCATACCCTCTGTCCCTGCTTTCTGGCAACCACTAACCTATTCTCTGTGGTTATTATTATTTTTTGAATTATTAAATTATTTTTTTAAAATTTACATCCAAGTTAGTTAGCATATAGTGCAACAGTGATATCAGGAGTAGATTCCTTAATGCCTCTTACCCATTTAGCCCATCCCCTCTCCCATGGTTATTATTATTTTTAATGTTTATTTATTTATTTAGAGACAGTGTACCCATGCATGAGAGTGGGGGAGGAGCAGAGAGAGGGAGAGAGTGAATCTCAAGCAGGCTCTGCACCACCAATGTAGAGCCTGATGCTGGGCTCAAACCCACAAACTGTGAGATCATGATCTGAGCTGAAACCAAGAGTTGGATGCTTAACTGACTGAGCCACCCAGGTGCCCCTTCTCTGTGATTATTTAAT